GGAATCGTGAGGTTGTGAGTCACGGTACACAGCTCCATTGGGATTAGCGTTTGGAGAGTCGTGTGTTTGGGGTGCTGGATGTGGCCGTGCCATTGGGACTTGCGTGTGAGGGTGTGACATCGAAGCTTTGTTTTCGCGACACGTCTTAGCTGAAGTGGCGATTGTGGTGGGCGCGAGCACTTGACGTGGCAGGCACAGGACTTTGTGCGGGCTGTGAGGCGTGGAAGTGCGATTGTCGTGACAGGCGGTGGGAATCGCGCAGGGCATCGTAAGGTTGTGAGTCACGGTGCACAGCTCCATTGGGATTAACGTTTGGAGAGTTGTGTTTTTGGGGTGTGCCATTGGGATTTGCGTGTCAGGGTATGGCATCGAAGCTTGGTTTTCGCGACCAGTCTTAGCTGAAATGACGATTTTGGTGGATGCGGCCACCAATGTGTCACTTTTCGCGCCAGGCGCAGGACTTGGGTTTTGAGGCGCGTGAGATGCATGAGAGGCGCAGGGAATCGTGAGATTGTGAGTTGCGGCAGAGGTGAGTGTCGCTGTCACAGTGGGAGTGGCGTGGGAGATTCGTGGCAGGCGCAGGGACTCGTGAGGGTGTGAGTTGGGGTAGAGGGGAGTCTCGCTAGCTGGCATGCGAGCAAATGTTATGTAGAGGTGGGTTGCGTTGGCATTCCGGTTCGTCGGCTGTAACCCGTCCTCCAGCCTGTTCACTGATAGGATGTGCATTGACGCGGTGCAAGTGGAGCGGTGCGAGCCGACGGGTATACGTGCTGCAGCCGTTTGAATCGCTGACACAGCAAGCGACTGTTCCTCAGTCAGACAGCTGTATTGATGAGGTTTCAGCCGTGTTTCGGCACTGTCGCCTTTTGAAACGCTGACACAGCAAGCTTCTGTTACCAAGTCACACCGCTGTATTGACTAGCTTTAAGCTGAAAGCTGAGCTGTCATGTGGATAAATGACCAGCTTCTGGAGCGGCGGTCGCTGCTGTGCATTACACACAGACCATGCACGGTACTGAAGCACAACGTTCATTGCAGCGCAGCACGTCTGCAAGATGTGGACACGCCTTACCGTGGCTTGTCGCCAGGTGAAGCTGCAGCCATGTCGGCAGCGCGGGCGGCGCAGACACACGGCGGCGCGCAGAGCGAGAGGGCGCTGTCATCGCCCTGCGGCTGGCGTGGCGCTGCTGCTGCTACTTTTGTCATGGCTGGGGATTCTGTGCGCGGGCCCGGCGACAAGTGTACTGCTGCTACTACTGCCGCTGCTTCTGGCGACTGCGTGCGGTGTGTGTGGCAGTTCGGCGTTGCAGCGCTTCAGTGCGAGGCCACTAGATAGTTTGACACACGTGTGCTTCGTCGCTGTTGTCACGACTGCTAGCGACCACTAGCTAGGACCATGTCTGTTAGGGACTGAGGAGCGTTGTGAAAAATGAGTGTTTGATGAGCACGATGTGTCTTGGTTTCGCTTCGGCTGTGTCATCCAGAGGCAGCATTACGGCAAGCAGTACAGTCGATTGGCGTCTGGCACACGCTGTGGCGGGCAGAGGTGGGATGACATTTTGCCTGAAATGCTATGTGATATTGACTTCTGTGTTCAGCGGTGGCCGTAACATGCACCGGAGGATGAAGATGCAGCGACGGCGGCTTGGGAGCATTGCGATCCTATCTGTGTGTGGAGAGACTCTCCGCGCACCAATCTGACCTGCTGCAAGAGCGGTTGAATGCTTATGACAGTGAATGATGTTTTCTATTTTTTTCGATCGGGCGTTACAGTTCTTGCGTGCAGGGGTAGAAGGTCATTGCAGGGAATGACTTGTCCATCTTGTGTTGATCTGTGATTGTAGTGACGTATCGTGTTGCAGTTCTTGCGCGTGGGGGTAGAATGTCATTTCAGGGAACGACTTTTCCATCTTGTGTTGATAGGTGATTGTAGTGACGTATTTTCTGTACAGGTGGCACTGCTGCTGGTGTGGCTGCTATCGTTCTTGTTGGGTGTACATGCACCCAACAAGCAGTTGTGCGTGGCCTACACCGCCCTGTTGCTGATGCATTTGCCCTGGCCGGAACCGTCTTGGTTTTTTGCAATTTGGTTTGCTGTGAACTGGCCGACCTTTGGTCCCAAAGGCAAAGCAAAAGCTTCGGCCGCGGAGAAGGAAGCGGCATTACGAGCAGAAGTGGTAGAGTTTCAGAGACTGCGTCCAGGGGAGAGGCCGAAGTCGCGTTCGTCTTTGTATGAGAAGCTGCGACGGGCTGGCGCACTGCATCTACTTGAAGCTAGAGAAGCCGAAACTGAAGAGCAAAGATGGCAACGTTTGAAACAAGAGGTCGAGGAGCATCAAGTGGCTCATCCAGGACGGCGGCCAGACAGAACGTCTCCATTGTACATCAAATTGCAAAAAGCTGGCGCTTTGGAGCTCTTGGAGAAAACCACGGTGGCTCAGTCCCCGGAGGAGAGGCGGCAGAGCTTGGAGGAGGAGGTTGAAGCTTACTTGGCTGCAAATCAGGGGCGACGTCCCGCTAGGACATCGTCTTTATATGTGAAGTTGCAAAAAGCTGGAGCTTTAGACCTTTTGGAGAAAGCCACGGTGGCTCAGTCCCC